TCCAGACAGCAATACTCGTTTACTCTCAGGGTGTAGTTCTCTTTGAACAGTGAGTTGTTCCTAAAGTAAATAAAAGATCCGTCCCACTGGACTGAACATAAATGTGCAAAAAAAGTCAAATGCTTGCACAAAACCCCTCTATTCTAAGTAAGATATCACAACAGAAACAGCTGCGTATTTCCTCTTAATGTGTACCTAATACATGACACTATTAATTGTACTGGCTGTATAGTCTATAACTAGCTTAGTTATACAAATTTGATGAAGTCTTTTCTGTACATATATGAAACTATACTAACATATGTGTGTTAACATATAGTGTTTGCAAAGTCACTTACATACTAACAGTTGTAGGATCATGGCCTTTTTCTTCACAGCATAGCTGTAAGGGTCTAATCCTGAGAGATACTGTGTGTTTTCACTGAAGTCTTAAACCTACTGAACCTGACATCAGCAAAGGCTATGTAAATTACAGTTTGAAAAAGCTAACGAACAGAACACTGTTTAATGAAATGTCAACTTCCACGGCAATTTTCTGTCAAATGAGTGCTGTTCTCTAGGACTTCTCCAAGAATACTCCAGAGTCAAACAAGAACATGAAAATATACTGCAGGGCTATGGCCAAAGTCCTGCAAATGCCCGAGTTTTTCCCAGTCTGGAAAATAAACTCCCAATTGTGTTTTTTATGTCCCCCAGGAGCTACAGTGGGTATGGACTACTGTTAAAGACTGCTGCCCTTTGACATATACCTTCCCAAAAATAAGACTGATTTCCCATCTCTACACACTAACAGGGTGAGGAGAAACAGGCTGTATATAAAAAACATCTCTAAACAGCCAGAAGTTCAACATATTTCAGGTATGATCCCTACGCCCTTGCCCCTGGCAACCAGGTACTCCACTTACAAATTAAATCAGAGCTGCTCAATATCTGGCAAAAGCCTGATATTTTCTGCCCCCCCTTGAATGACTCTGGACAGAAAGCAAAAAATCAGACTGTTGGTATGTAGTAAAACCACATAAAAAGAAGTGGCAGGTATAATGAGAAATATCCTACTAAAAACCTGTCACAATTATGAAGTTGTCTTTAACACAATGGTTAAGCATGTTTGTGAACATTAAAAATCCCAGTTGTAGCACATAAAGGACAAATATAATCTAATTCCTTTAGTGTCTGTTGCCCAATCCATGTTTGGATAACTGAAGGACTGAGAAATCCAGCAATGCAGAAGAAAAAAAAAAAAATCTGTAACTTATATTTATTAGGTAAAACTGAATTGCATTAGAGTACACAGAACAAAAGATTGCAATGAGGAATTAAACAGACACTTAAGGCATAAAGAAGTGAAGGCATAAACCAACCCTGGACCATGAAACTGCAGGAACAGAGGTAACACAGAAAGGCAAAACTGTGATAGGAAAGCAAAGGGAAAGACAGGGAACTGAAAAGAGAATATGAATGTTTAAGAAGCAGCAGAAACAAATGGAACAAACCAGAGAAATTACAGTACAACAGTAACAGCACTTTTTGCAGGCAAATAAAATAATTTTTAAGGATTAGCAAGTTCTAAAAGCTACTGAGACAGGCTCAGCCACTTGCCCTAACACACAGAGGGGTAAAAAAACAAACTTGAAAAAGAGGAGGAAAATAAAGGAAATGGAATGATATCACATCTTTCTGATGCTGAAATAAAATATCCAAAAACTTTATGTTTTGGAAGTTAAGATACTGGACGTGCACTACCTTGTCCTTTTCCAGCCTCCAGCAAAATACCATGATTTCAGATTTGGTTTCTGAAGGTGACAAACTCCTGCAATGATTTTTCGTATTTTAGGAAATAACCATTTCCATTTCAGTGCACGGTTAGGAAACCAGGTCACCAGGAATTAAGATGACTGTTTGTCACAGTTTGGTTTAACGTATTACATGATCCAAAATTGCTTGGAGGTTTCTGCACCTTAAAGATAAACCAATACTTGAAATCAAGTTCCTTTAGTCTAGCCAAATGAGGAAATGATGGCAACAGGTAAAATATGCTGTAAAATATAATTAGCTTTACATATATATGCTAATTTTATCACACTGTTTTCTCCTTCTCCCATATGCATCTGATGAGCAATGAAAGTGTAAAATGGGGTTTCCTTTCTAAATCTTTATTTAAATTAAATACACTCAACAGGCAAAATTTTAAAGTGCAATTCAGTTTGTAAAAAAAAAAAACAACAAAAAACCCAAACCAACCAAAAAACACAAAACAACACCAAACACCTTCAGTAATGGTACTACTGTTTTTCAACATGCTGCTAATAACAATAAACCAGTCACAATAAAAATTGACGTAACAGTGAGCAGTTGCTGTGCAAAGTAATCAAGACAGAGGAATGATTTTTTCAGATGAAAAACAACAAGGTAATCTTCAATACCAGAATTAAAAGTGGATTTATCTATGCAGTTAGATTTGGGTTTTTAAAGCAAAGGTCTAAACCTTTGCAAAAGCTTGTAAAATGCAGATCCTGAAACAGAAGCACCGCTGGCCAGAAAAGACCGATGCACTCCACCCAGTTCAAACTTCATTCAGGTAACTCCCGTCTAATTAAAAAGTCTTCCCTAAAGTTACATCAGATGTAACTTCAGCAAAACATGTTTTCACAGATTTTCAAATACTTAACATAGAGCACTATCCTTCAGAAAACCTCCTCCCTAAGTACATTTATGATAGTTTTCCTTACCTTTAAAAATAACAGAAACAATAGGATCTGGTTTCCCAAACTTGGTTTTAGGGATATTGGTAGCAGATTCCACAATCACCCGAAGCATTGTTTCCCGTCTTGACTAAACGTCGATTCTTACGAAAGAAATTCAAGGAAGTCTTAAATTTCAAACTCCTTAACTTCTGGACTGAAATGCTAGCAGGAAGAGGAGGCAGGGAATAGCTGGTTTACAGTAAAGAAGGTCTATGGGTGGATCTATGACAAGACTTGCTACTGAAGGCTACGAAAAAAAAAAGAAGTACCTGTAAATTGACACCACGTTCTGCGTTGCTGCACAAAAGAGCTCTCGTTAGTGAAATCCAGTTACAGAAAGGGCACAGTGTAAAAACGAGTGCAGGGTTTGGGGTTTTTTTGTTGCTTTTATTCTTAAACTGTGTGATAAGCCTCTCGTAAATAACCGAGGCAAAAATAAGCATAAGCAACATGAACATTAAACACAACTCCAGTCCTCAAGATACATCACATCTGCCTCTTGGTATACCAAGGTATTACATTTCACGATAGTTTATATTTTTTTTTTCCTCTTAATTTTTAGAACTTCATTGTTCGTAACTGTTTTTAGCTCGCCTCTGTGTCAGTGTATAATCACAAATATACGGTCTTCAAAAATGGTTTAAGTGCTCCCTCTTCAGTTGTGCTCTGGAACAACTACGTTTTACATAATACTACAGGGTCCACATTTAACACGCTGAATTTAGTAGATCTCTCGAGAAATTATTAACATCTACACGCATAAAGAAAGAAGAATTAAGGAAATACGTGCAAAACATGTGAGAAGACTCTCTGTATTGTTTGGAAGCCTATATTTTGTCTTAACATAAATACATGCAGTAGAATGCACTGAAACAAAACTAAGAAAAACTTACATATTTAAGTAAAAAGAAGCCTTTGCTCTAAGCTACCCAGTGTTCAGCTTTACAGCGGTTTTTCTCACCTGCAGACCAGAGGTAAAAACCACAAGTGGTGCACAGTACCACTGCAAAATATGTTTTTAAGTAGAGATGAGAGGGGAATCCAGCAAGGTGGAGCAAAATGAGTCACTTGTGGACAAAGTTCAGCCTAGTTTTTTACATGGTCACACGAGAACTATCCTAGCTTATTACTTCTGAAACAAAGATGGACCTTGCTTCCTTTCTAAAATTATGAGATTTTGGGTAGCTGAAGAAGAGGATTTATGGGGAAAGAAAAGGTAATCCACAGCCAACATGTTCAGGAGGGAACGAAGATAGACACGCAACAGCACTGAGAGGACCCAGAAGACTTGGCTGAAGCATCATGGTGGGCTGTTCCGTCCCCACCCACGCCAGCCCCGCACAAGTCCCCCAGCTGGCCCACGGCCAGAGGCACAGGCCAGGCTTGCTGCCCCAGGCAGCTGGTAGCCACTGCCTCCCCCTCCCCCCCCGAACAGCACGTCGACTAAAGCCTCGTGCAGGCTTGGCGAGACACCCGCCAGGAAGAAACGTGATGGGGCGCCCACTTGCCACCGCCCCTCCTTCTACAGCCGCCCTTTAACAACGCAGCGGAACCCCCCTCAGGGGGAAAATGAATTACGGCCTCGCGAAGGGGAAACAACCGCCGCCCCAGCCCGCTCCGAAGGGCCCGGCCGCCCCGGGCCAGCCCTCGCCTCACGGCCACCGCTCACGAGCACGTGCGCTGGGGCAGGGAAACGAGGCGGGGAGAAGAAAGGCCCCGTGGCATTGGCCAGACAGGTCACGCGGCCGCCCAACGCCAGCCAATGGGGAGCTTCCTCTCAGGCGTTCCGCGGAGAACTCGGCAGCGCCCCGCCGTGCCCAGCGCGTGCCCCTCTAGCCCCGCCCATGCCTGCTCGCGCAGCCCCCTCTAGCCAGTGTCTCCGCGGTAGAGTTCTTTAACCCCTCCCCCCGCCTTCTCTGACCCCTCGGCGACGCCGTAGCCCTCGCTTCGACTGTCAGGCGGCCCGGACGGAAGTGACGATGCTGGAGCCGCGGGATTCAAACTCCCGGAAGCGGGGCTGGGCCGGGGCCGGCCGGAGCAGCCGCCGGCGGGGAGCAGAGGGTCCCTACGGCGCCGTGTCCCAGGGCGCGCACGGGCCCGTTTGCTCCCCGCGGCCCGGTCCGAGAGCCGGCAGCGGGAGCCGGGAAACCCTGCGCTGCCCGGGCTTGACTGAAGCCGCGTAAGAAGTCAGGTCCGGCCCGGTAGCAGGGATTGCTCTTCCGTAACGCTACCGTTACTTTTTATAGGCCCTTAAAGATGAATTCCAAGACCGCCAAAGATATAATCATTGGCAAGTGGGGCTTAAAGTCGGGTAGCTCCAGACGCGAGACTGATCTCGAGAAGTATAAGCAGGAGAACGCTGCCCTGAGAAAATCAATGGAGGAAGTCGTTAAAGGGAAAGGCAAAATGACTGACGCGGAAAGGAACGGGCTCCTAGAGGTGAGGTGGATGTGGGGACTCGGGCTGATGTTTGTGATGTCCCAACTGTGCACGGTTATCGTGAGTCTGAGTGTGTCCGGCTTTGGAAGCAGGATGCCGATCTCCTCTTAAAATTTAGTTTACTTTGATGTCACTGTTGGTTTAGTTTGACATTTTTGTTCTCAAATATTTTTCAACGATGACTGAACTAATAAAATTACAATCATCTGACAAGGCTGTTAAATACAAAGACTTGAGGCCAGAGTGCCAGTTAGTCTATGAAGACCTGTCCTCACATGTCCAACTGTTTGGAACAGTTGGTCCCAGAGAATTATTTTGAATACTTCCTGCAAAGAACATGTTTGCAAACAGCTGCCTAAGAACACACTAAAAAGTGCTGAGTATTTGCTTGAACTACATTCTCAAGCTCCCACTCAGCTATAGGTAAGTAAAACTGTAATCAGTTCACCACATTATTCTTCCATTACAACTAAGACACTGAAATTTCTGTGCCTTGTAGTCCATTCAAGGTAAACCTGTGGTTGTAGAGAAAGAAGTTCAAGTCACATACTGTCAGGCTTCCCAGGAAGACTAGGAAACTATAAATGGACTCTTTCAAAGGATACAACTAATGGAGACTACGCACTCTAACATTTCTGGGCTATTTCTTTTGACCATAAGGCTTTTCATATGTCTGTGCTACAATGTCAGTTGAGAAGTGCTAACCCAAGTACCAGCTATGGCTAGACAGCTCATGTACTGTTGTGGAATTTGTGTGTGAATTTGTGTATTTGCTGTGCCTGGTGGAGTTTCCTGCCTGCTCTGTGTTGGTTACTTAATATTGGGTTCCTGGTTTACAGGTGGAAAATCACAGGCATGCTTAGATATTCTAGGTACTACTTGGTGTCAATATTTTAATTCTAGTGAGCACTGTGTGGTTGTCAACCACACCCTAAATAAGGCTCTCTAAAATTCAATTTCTTTCAGTTTCTCTGTCACTTTCTCTTGACTTGATGTCAACATGTAGGATTTCAATGTCAATCTTTCTCAAGGAAAATGAAATGCTATCATAACAGAAGTCTACGTAGACCCCCAAGGTGTCTCAAATGCAGTACTAATGCTATGTAATAATTCCCTGTGCTGGAGGCCTGCTGAAAAGAGAGTGCCTGTTGAAAATATCTAATAAAGCACATTTTTAAAGTAAAAGGCCAGACAATTTGCCAAACAGGATCCTTCTCCTGAATGCTTTATTGTAACTCTTTTGTAACTTCACTTACAGTCACTTAGTTTGCAAGAAGGCTCTGCTGCTTCTCCAAAGCTACTAAATATGCTAACCAACACTAAGAAGTGTATTGCCAACCTCTTCACTGAAGTGGTTTAGAGTTCTTGTACTGCTTGGGTTTTAAGGTTCATATACTGTAGTGATCTGTATTCATATACAAAACTGAGTACCCACCAAGTCTGTGAAATTTGGTTCCCTGCATTCTTTCCTTGTTTTATCTACTTCAGGCTGTTTTACTATCACTTGAAATATTTCAGATGATCGCTGTAGTATTGTCTGCTTTGAGTAAGAAGTAATATTCTCAGCTAAATAAAGACTAAGGGGGAACCTTTCAAAGTGAGTATCTTCTCAAACGGTTGTAAACTTGCTACTGCATTTGTTGCATAGACTGACACTTATTCATTTGTGTCACTCTCTAATTCTGTTTCATTTAGAAAATACTTTCCCTTGAAAAAGAAAAAGAAAATCACAACTGCCTGCTTGGAGAAAAGGACAAAGAAATCCAAAATCTGAAAGATAAGCTTAGGTCAAAAAACAAGAATAGCGAAGTCTCCTTATTACAAAGTCAACTAGAGGAAAAAACAAAGGAAGCAGAAAGGAGAGAACAGTTACTTTGTTCTCTATCTGAAGAAATGAACCGGTTAAAATGTAATTTATCCAGCGTTACTGCAAAATGTTCTGAGCTTGAAAACAGAGCCAGTACTTCTAAGGCATCCCAGGTAAGCACTGAGAAGTTTACAATTGCAAATTCCAAGTCTAACCTGTTTACAGGTTAAACTTGGAATCTGTGCCAACTAAGGACCAGTATGTGTTATAAAATAGGATGGATTTTTAATCTTCCTACAAGTTGCGTTGCATGCTGAAATATTCTTGGATGAAGAGAGATGGTATCCAGATAGAATGCTAAATGAAGAACAGTCAGGGAACACAACTTCAGGCAATGCAGCTGGGGAGGGAATTCTCTAATGCTGTACGGTAAGGTTCCTTTTTCATGTTCACATGCAGGTGGTATGACTAGTGGCACTACATGTAATAATCCACTGTTGCTTAAGCAGGTATGCCCTTCTTGGGTTTGTATGCTCACTGATTAAACAGACTGACAAGGCAGCAGTAATAGACATGGCGCATTTATAAAGCCAAACTAAGTTCCTCACCTAATTTGGCTTCAGTCATGAGAATATCTTTCCCCTCTCTGCTCTTATGAATCCTCATTTGCTCCTCAGTTGTTAAAACTAGTTGCCTGTACTTTACATGGCATCACACATGATAAATACTTCAATGTAACAGAAGATAGGACAAGAATAATGAGTTGCTTCTCTCATTTAAAGTGGTTAACAGGTATGGTGCCAGGTACTTGGCAGCTTTTACAAGTGCATTTAGTTTTCTACAGTTGTTTTTCCACCCCTGCCTGTTCTAATGTTCCATAGAAAATGCAGAGTATCTCAATAAGGGGCACAAGGGAAGTTGGTGTCTAGAAGTAGGTGCCTATAGGTCTTTTCCAGCTTTTGACCTGCAGATGGTGCTGGTTCCCCACGCTCAACCTGGAAGTTGAGTGATTTCTAGAAATTCAGCTTTAGCCAAATACATAGCAAAATATCTTAATTTACTAATTTTCAATGATAATACATATATGTATCACTTCTAATAATGCAGTATCCTGGGAAATACCACTTTAAATGTAACGTGTTTATTTTCAGTTTCAAGAGACTTTGAACTTAATGTATGTTAATTCAGCAGATTTCCATGGTATTTTTGTCAATGAACTACCAAAATATCTTTTAGTTTAAAACCAGAATTTTCTTTTAAATTTTTCACTGATTTATCAATAGAGGACAACAAAATGTGACTGATGTTTTTGACTGGATGTCTTGGAAAACCTGAAAACAAGTCTAGCAATGCTGTTTGAAACTGCTAGGTGGCACATGAGCAGCAGGAACAACAGTTTTATGACACATTTTTGAGAAAATTTTCACTGAGGCAGAGTTCTAATGTTCACAGAAATAGGAATCTGAGCAACTGTAGTGTCTCTAAATCCTATTTTTATTAGGCAGTGCTGAAGTTTAATAATTGTATTCATGTTCTCCTGTATTTCTTCAGTTAAAAAGTTTGTTCTAAATCATGTTCCAAAAATCACAGGAAAACTTTGGAAAAATGTAGCTTGGATTTGGGTAGTAATCTACATTTTTATCTCCTTAAAGTCCCCTCTTGTATCTATACAATTTCAAAAAAGCTTTCTATCATGCAGTGAATAAACGTATCGGATCATGAAAGAAGTATAACTGTTTAACTGCTCTCTAGTTCTAGATGGATGTAGAGAACTCTCTGACTCATACTTTAAGCACTCTACTGTGGATCAGGTCTCAGAAAATCAGTCAGTATGTCCTTATCGTTCCAGACAGGCTTGCATGGTTTCCCATATGTTTATAAATCCTCCTGTTATCCCAATGAAGTTGTCAAGGTCTCTAGCTTTCCCCAACAACTCCTACAGGTCTGGCTTATTGTCAAACTGGTATGAGGATATGAAAATAGAACAGTTACCTTTTTTGTTCATGTAAATAATACCCTGAATATCTTCATTTTTCAGAGGCTCTCCTGCACTCTTCAGGTCTTCCAAGATAGCAGTTCAGCAGAATACACAAGATAGTCATCTTGGGAAATGTTTTAATATAACTATGAGTTGCAGAGTTATGGAAGAAATTAAATGTAAATCTTTCTCCTGTATCCTGCAGGAGACTTTGTTTTAAATCTATGAAATGGTTTTCTATGTAACTTAGATCCTTTAAAAAAAACCCAAACAAACAACTATAAAGATCTTTAAACACAAAAGGCATATGTATGCATCTTTTCAATTTTTAAAATATTCTTGTGCTGATTATGTGAGATTAATAGTTATACAGGACTAGCTTTACTGTTTCAGCCATCTATTTTAAAGAACACTAACAGGTTGTTCTTTGCCTGCAGGAACTCATAACAAACAGCACTGGATCATTAACTAATCTTTATGAAGTTGAAAAACAACTGAAAGATGTAAGTTTCCTGTACAAAATTGCAAGTGCAAATCATCTGTATCAAGATGCGTATTGCTTGGAACATCAGAAAAAAGTGGTTGCTGACAAAATGGGAGCCCCAAGGAACCTGGTCTGACCTTGGAGCTGACACTGCCTGGGATAGCATGAGGTTGTATTAGAAACCTCCTGAGGTCCCTTCCAACCTGAATAATTCTATGATCCAATCAGATATAAAGTACATGTCCTTGTTCTTACAAACTTTAAGTTGCAATGATACAGTTTTAGTTTATTCTATTTTCAAGATCTGTTATATTTTATTTTATATTTGAGATTGAAAGGTTAATTCTTCATAATCTGGGCATGACTCATGAAAGCCTTTGTTTCAAAGTCATTTTCCCATTCCAAGAAGTAAGCCAATCAGTATTTAATATTGCTGCAATTTTAACTTATGTTCAACAACCTGACTTATCTTTCCAAATGAAGATGGGTTTTATTTATTGTACAGAGAGGATTACTACAATTTCCAGCTTATCTTTAAACTGTATAATATATAACTTTTAACATTTTTAAGAAATAAGACTAATACTTTTAAAGTCTGATAAATTACAGAGGCTTTTTTATTGTTTTTCTGTTCCTTTTCATGAAGGCTCTTGAGAAAAACCAACAGTGGCTACTGTATGACCAGCAACGTGAAGCATATGTCAGGGGCCTGCTTGGAAGGATCTTTGAACTTGAACAGAAGTCAGAAACAGTTAGCCAACAAGAATCTAAAGAATTCAATTCAGAAGGTATGGACTTTATTGTTTCCCCACACGTGACCCAAACCATAATTATATATAGAATTAAGTTTTCTGAAAACAAATTATAGCACAATTAAACAAAATCAAGACTTTCTTCTCAACATTTTGGTTTCTTAATGGTAAAACTTGGGTAAGTAAAATTTCTTTGCTTCCTGTTATCTAGCTATGTTACTTGATCAACAGTATTTCATGTTCTTATCTACTTCAAGGATGGTTTTTAACAGCCTTGACACTCTATTAGCAACCTCTCTGTTTGTGGAAAGTGTTGAGGCAAATATGTATATGTATCCCATCCTTCAAAGTACACTTTCAACCTACATAATGGAAGCATTAAGGATTTATGAGCTAGGTGTGGATCAGGTTTTTTTAAATTTACTTTTTTCAAAATAAATATTATAAAAATGACTCAAGACTGCCATGTTCTTTACTTACCTGAACAGTTGTTACAGGGCACGAAAACCTGTGATAGGTTTTGGCACCTATCCAAAACAGTGTTTCGCAACATGGATCTGGCCATCTCTAGCTCACTTCTGTGCTATGCAGTTCCCTCTCAGCACCACGCATTCAGATTGAGTGCTGCTTGACCAACATGTGGAATAAAATTAAAATCATGCTGAACAGAAGAACCCGAAGGAGTTGGCTTGCTTTTCTTATTATCAAATTATTAATTTCATATATGCTGCAACTGATCTGCAAGGTAAATTCACTAAATAGAACTAGCATTATCTGGAGTAAGAGTATGCCCACAGATACTTGCCACTTAGTAATTCATGTACAGTGGCTTGGTTTCTGTATTACTGCTTGAATCTTTGTGGAAAACACTAAAACATCATCATAATCTTGTTTTGGTGGTGTTTAGAAATCTATAAGCAGTATTTTAGAGGGAGACAGACTGAAGTAGCTCACCAGGAAATGTAACTCTGAGTTACTGCTGTCAAAGCTTTGTCATCAGAGCAGCCAGGAGACTAGGAGTAAGGGTATAAGAAAGTTCCTCTCTTCAAGCAGCTAGACAGTAGCAGAAATCAAAGGTTCTAAGAACCTAGCTATACAAGCTGAAAGTAGATAGGACAACTTTTTCCAAGGAAAAAGCTGGTGTATCTCTGAGGATCTCACCATCCTATAAAGGAGTATCGCTAATGAGAAGGTAAGGCTTAGTTCATAGTTGAGGGGAGGGAGAACAGTCAAGCAAGAAACTACCCCTAGTAAGTTACAGTTTGAAGAATGAGGGGAAGCCTTCAATAGGAAAAGTATCAAAGTTAAGAAACTTACAGTGCCAAAAATCAGCAAAGCCTGTGAAATTCTGCATTTTGTTCTGCTTCTAGGTATATTTTGTATTACTACTGAATTTCTACAAACTGCCTCTTTTTTCCCCTACTTACTAAACTCTCCTTAGGTCAACAAGCAGAAATTTTGCAAACTCTGGTTTAAGGAACAGTCACTAGCCAAGAAGCAGGCATTTTTTATCAAAAAAACCCTATCCTAGTCCCTTCTATTTGCAGTTTAGAAGTAAATGATGGCATACGATTTGAGGAAGATGGTCTGCAAAAGACAAAGGAAGGTCTGGCTTTGGTCAACAATGGTGAAATAGAGCCCATCAGATCCCCAGGGTATCCATATACTCCCCAGGGGAGGGAGAAATGCCAGCACCTTGGCTAAGGGGCCTAAATCTGGAAGGGAGAATCTAGCACCACTGGGCCTTGCCTTCCATGTGTCAGTGTAATGCCTGAGGCCACATAAGAACTATGTGTGGGTCATGGAGCTTGTGTAGTCAGGGCAAAGGATATAATATTGCTTTAAGGGTTAGTGAAAGAAGTAGCTGTAGCACACAATACCACACACAAGCCAAGTTGCAGTTTTCTGGTAACTATATTGGAAAGGAGACTTCACTGCATTAGGAGTACTGAAAGCTGTTTTAACTAAAGTTTGGTGCCAATCTGGGCTGTGAAGAGCCTAGAATGTTGATTTCTATCAATATACCTTAAAATCCTGTCAAGGATTTGGTCTTCTGATTTTTAAGTGTGTTGGTTCCCCCCCCCCTTACTATCTCAATTATTTCTCACTCATTAAGGTCATCTACAAGAGGAAAAGCAAAAATATTATGACCAGCTGTTACTAACTGCTAAGAATGATCTTGAGACTGAAAGACGCACTATAACCCAGCTGAGATCTGAACTTAATGAATTCAAAAAGAAGTATGAAGAAACACAACGAGAAATAACAACTTTAAATGCCTTACTGCAGTCACAACAGGTTGCTGAAATGAAGACTCTAGAAAATGAAAATAAAATTAAAGGAGAGAAAGTACAGAGACTAAAACAAGAAAATGAAACTATTAAAGGACAGCTCAGAGAAGAAAAGAAAAAGTCTGAAGATCTTTTATGTCAGGTAAGCGCATGCATCTAGAGGTTTAACATCATTAGCAAAGAATCAAGAGAGCTGAAAAGTCATGCTTAATTAGAATGGACCATCACTCACTTGCTCTGGTAACTGTTCTTTATGTATATCTAGACTCATGTCCTTGAGGTTAAAACTGAATACTTTCTTTAATATATTGGTTTGAATCAAAATCCAAACTTTAAGTTTGCCTGTTTAAATAAGGAACTTATTTGTTCACTTATTTCCTTGGTCTTATGGGACACAAGAGGGAGAAGTAAGAGAATACTTAATTGATTCTAATCTAGTTAATCCTCAAGGTTAACAGTAAATGAGAACAGGAAAGGTAAAAATTCAAGTCCATACAGGCTATTTTATCATGTGATCCTAACTATGGAATATCACCGATATTTGTTGTCACCTGGCTGCTACAAAATACATGTGGGCTTGTAGTTTCATACTTAGTGGATAGGCAGCTGTGTCCCTGGATAATAACCCCAGCCAACTATTGTGGCCTTGCAGCTGGGGTTTTTTGTTTGTTTGTTTTTTTTCCATTCAGATGAGTTCCTGCATTTGGTTCTCTCTATGATGCCATGGGTAAGAACTATGCAAGTATGCCTGAGTACTAGAAAGCTATCGCCAGATAAGCAAGGGAAGGCACGGACCTTAAGTTGTCACTGTCTTGAAGATGGCTGTGGTAGAAACCACTGAGAAGAGTTCTGTAATTCCCTATAAAGGCCTAAGATGTGCCTGTCAGGCAGGCTGTTCAATAGGCATGGTTTACACTGTTGCCAGATCTGTTCTGTTGTTTTTGCATTGGATTCTAATTGTTTGCAGGGCTTGCCCATCTCCCAGAGAGTACCTTGATGACTTCAGTGAAATAATTCTGTTCATATGTGAAGTTCTTAATTCTTCCTTCCTTCTTTTTTTTTTGAGCCCAATAACTTTAACCACTCGGGCTGATCAGAGGCAGGGGAAGACATTGTATGTGCTATATGTTTGTATTTAAAAATATTTAGTGCTTACCTCCTTTTGTTTGGAGTACTCATGAGGACTATGCCACTTCCCCTACATGGAGAGTTACAGTGGTGTCTTGGAATATTCCTATCAGCATAGTGATGCTAACAGAAAAAAAAAAAAAATCTGTTGTTTCTTCTTCTGGACATGAAATCATGACCACATATCTGCTGAAGAGAAACTGGAAAGTCCTCCTTAAAAGGACTGTCCTCAGGGCATCCAAATGAGATAGACTTGCTACTTGGAGAAGTTTAGGGTTGATAACAAAGCAATGTAGAACTGAAATTTGAGGCATGAGAATAACATTTACTAGGCACCAAAGTAGGCTAGAACCAGAACAACAGTTTACCTCCCTAAATACTGTCTGATTCTCCCTGGTTAATAACGATTAAAAGGTGCTGTTGGTTCTGTTGTTTTTTTTTTTTTGTTGTGTTTTTTCAGCTGAACAATAGTATTCACTACAAGAATTGATACATGCTGATAACAGATGATATTTTTATGTATGCATTTACTTAATCCATTATAGTATAGTACTTTCTGAGTCTTAAACTTGTTCTTTTCTATTAAAAAAAAAATTGCATTGCTTGTTTTTTAACATTGTGGCATGTAAATACAAACATAGGTTTTGTGTGTATATTTTTGTCTGCATCCTGGCAATCACCTAGGAAAGCTCAGTTTGATATTTTTTTGTTTTGTTTAAAACTATAACATCATTCTGCATTTCCCCTGCTCAATGCAATAATAATGCTTCCCTGAGGTTTTCTCCAGGGAACCAGAGAGATTTTAATTTGGTTTGGCTGTTGCATAACAGGCATACATTTTCTGTTTGGTGTTGGAATATAAAAGTTTACTTCTATCCCTTTTTAGATTCATTATTTGTTAAACTTATTAACTGTTGTATATGGATGTTGTTTATTACAAATGTTTTTCTGTCTTGTAGGTGCAACTTCTTCGCAAATCATTGCTCAAACAGCAGGAGGAACACACTAGGATAGCTTTGTTGGAACAACAGGTAGCCAATTATATGCTAAGATGCTGATACTTAATCTGTATTATGCACACAGGTTCTAGACTAACTTCAAATTTAAGAATGAGTAGTATATTAAAGTAATATTAGACATGAATATTCAACTGTGAATAATCTCCTGATGCTTCTATAGATTTTGACATGTCTGTCGAGGAGATCTGTAATCTTTTACAGATAAGAGGGTGTGATCAAACTTAATGCTATTTTCTCCACAATCACTTGTTCAACTGTACACCCTCTGGTTAGGTATGGGAAACATCTGAAAACCAATCAGCTCATTGAAGTTTTGTAATATACTCTTGATAAAGTTATACAAATAATTGCATTGCCATCTTTTCTATCTTCTTTATTTTCTCCAATTACATTCTTACAGATCTAATTGATGTTATTGGGGGGAAAAAAAAGTTACACTTATTTGCTAAGCTTGGGTGTACAGTGTTACCCATAGGTTCTGTCCAAATTATCTGGCTACAAGAAAGATCCTGGAGTAGAAACTGGCATTTTTAATGAGTACTTGCACTATATGCTTTTCTATAAAATGTTAAGATTGCAAGACAGCTTGAAATGGTCTCCAACCAAAATAGCTTCAAATTCCATCTCTACTAAGGGAGAAGATATTTCATAACTAGGCATGTATGAATTTCACTGTAGTGAAAGCAACAAGTGACTTTTTTTTTTTTAAATCCTATTTTAGGATATGATTGCAGAGTAAAATTTACTTTAAATATATAAGGGGGAAACATTTCTCTTTCTCTTCTCCACACCCCAATTCTTAATAATTCTGACTTTAATTCTTTAATTTTTTTACTTTGGGGGGTTGCCAGATCCAGATATGCACCACAGATTTTGAAAATGAAAAGCTTGATCGCCAGAACTTGCAGCATCAGTTAAACAAAGTCCTTAAGGAACTGCGCAAGGCCAGGGAGCAAATAACCCGTCTGGAACCTCTGGTATGTCATGAATAACTTGCAGGTAAATTTAGTCAGGGATTTTGCATAAATGTACATATTTTCATTTTGGGATCTTATTTCAACTGTAGTGAGTCTTCAGTTAATGTTATCAGATATTCATTGTAGGTCCTTACATTCTTTAGGTATGTGGTCCCAAGATGCAGAACCCTGTGTCAGCTAGCTAGGCATTGTTTTTCTCTACAGCATGCATGGAGAACTAGTACTGCAGAAGGAGATCCAGAATAGTCAGGTTCCTGAGCAGGGAACATAATTGTATTTTGTATCACAGTGTGTTACCTAGTTTGGACTATTGCACAATGACAAAGTTGCAGTATGCTTCTACTCAGACTTGCTGCTAGTGAACAGGACACAATCCTTAAATATAGAATTCCTCCCCCACCTCCATCTGATACAGGATGGGTGGGTCATTAAAACCTGGCGTTTTCATTTCCAAAAAGACAAGCTCTCTACTACAATGAAAAAGGACGTTTGTTGTATTATGAGGACTCTGGTCTGTTTGCTGCTTATTATACAAGCCCAAAGAAAGCCACCTAGATTTAAGCCCTAGACTTAATGGAGAAATTTGTAAGGAAAGATTAAGTATTAAGCAAACCATTGATCTGTTTTGCTCTGTTGTATCCAGGATTGCCCTGGTCTTGAGCAGAAATGCATTTTGACTGTTGGTGCTTCTGGAAAGTATCTTGTAAGATGAGGTGATAGCTGAATAGGGTTGTCAAAACTGCAGTTCTGGACTTAAATGAGGTTCAAAATGGAAATCAGACACCTGTGTCCTTCATTAGATCAGGTCTGGGGCCATTGTGATTTTTACAGAGGAGATAAATGCAAAAGCTCCTAACACGTTGCAGATGAGAAGAATTCTTCTATGACTCTGCCAGACTACTCTCCCTCTTAGTTGTATGCAACTTGGAAGTATTTTCTCAAATGAGGAAGGGAATGGAATGAATCCTGAGATACTGATGATCTTCACTCATGCGTTGCCCCTTGGGAGAGCCTCACTTGCTAGGATTGCAGTTGCTGCTGCCAGGGGAAGCCCCTGGAAAACCTTCTGTCTGCTAGAGTACAGCAGAAGTTTGGGCAGAGCAGGGAAGCTATAGCTTTGAGTTTCTCTGTGCTAAGAAGCTGGAGAAGTAGCTGTCAAATGGACAACCAGGTGCGTTTTACAGTTAGGGTCAGCCTTCATGCACAGAAACTTCACGCATGGGATCAGGAGAAGAGAAAATTACAGCAGAGTTTTTGGGAAGATAGCTAGGCAGCATCCTATGTAGAAGGGGCTGAGGCATCATTTTATTAGGGAAAGATAGTGTGTGAGTAGCTAGGAAGATGGTTGGGGAAGGATTCCCAGTCAGACATTGTGGGAAACCTGTCTTAAATAGTCTGCAGAAAAGCTACCTGCAATCTAATTTAAATGTGGTGTTAGAATTGTACAACAGGCCCTTTGTAATTAACACAAGCAGCATAACTGCCTTTAGCCATCTTTAAAATTCTACCGTTAGTGCTATAACACACACAAGGCTTGTGTGCCATCAAACCTTAATATTTTTTCCTACAGTATTTGATCAGCGCATGCATGCCCCAATCTTACACTAAAGCTGCTTTTCCAGAAACCCCAGGAATCTGGACGTATGGAACCACAAGAAGATTTGCAAGCTGTGTTTGAAGAGAAGCTGACCATGTATGACAGAAGTCCTTCCCTGAAACATTCAAACCTTCTTGATGAAAGTTTTCTTGAGTGTCCCAGATGTAAAGCGCAGTATCCAACAAGCCAGCATAGAGAATTACTAGCACATATTGACTTCTGTACAGCTTGAGCTCCAAATGGACTTACTGTATTTGCTTTATACACACTGCCAACATGCTTTTCTACAAAGGCAAAAGATCTTTTTAAAGCTTTTTTCTTAAGGTTATATAAAGGACTACTAGTTTTATATTCAGTTCCACAAAAACATTATAGTTATTTATTTGGCCTCAAATATTTTACCTGATGTTTTTGCAAAAAGCAGCTACTGCATTTTTGGTTGCAAATGGAAATATTTTTATAATTGGGAATATCTTCAAATAGTAAACTACTGACTTATTTTTTTGCACTATTAAAAATGAGAACAGTAAAAGCACACCTATCGTGTCGGACTTTATTTTCATGTTTGGCATATCCAGTTCTTGGTTGGTGAATCCTGATGATTGTGCTTGTACCTTAACTGACAGTAATAGCTGCAAAAGATTTTTGGCCCTTGTAGGTGTACTATATATATTTATATATACATGGTATGTGTGTATATGTATAGTATGTACAGCGTATATATACATGTATTATATATATGTATCATATACATATGCAATGTATCACCATCTTGATAAATTAAAACTCAGGAGACTCAAGTTAGATCTTTGCTGCTTAAGATTCATGTTGAAAACATTAATCATAAGTAGCTTATTTTCCTGAACCACAGTCAGGTGTGACTTAGCTCATACAAAAATGCTGACCAAGGTTTAAGCTCTTCTCAAAAAAATTGTCATTGGGAAAACAAACTTCCTAGCAAATACAAGCTTCCTTGGTACTGAAAAAAGTTTGTATTTCTGACAATGTCAGAGACCATTTTTGAAGTTTGGATATAGAATTGTGCTGAAGTAAACTTGTTTGCACTTCTGTATTTTAGAGGCTAAAGTTAGGCAATGCCAGTTATTCAATCTGTTACATTTGACAAATGCCCCCGTTTAAAAGTGCAGTTTTTAATAAATTGCTCTAGTGGATTTGAAGTGTCACTGTATTTTGGTATTAATACAGAAAACAAGTTAGCAATAAATTCTTGCAACAAATTAGAAACTGGCAAAAAATTCCCTTATGGATTTGCAATCACAGTGTTATTTTCTTCTAGCACCTACTGTAAACCTGGATCTGTTGCTAGCATTTTGCTCCTTGCATCTGTAGTTAAGTCCAACAGGCAGTTCTTTCCACAAAAATTATTAAAGTGAGGAAATTTTACAAAGATACATGAGTAAAGATAAATCTGCTTCTTGTACAAGTTTATAGTTGCTGAGGACAATGAAATACCCAAGGTCTATCTTTCTCTGGTATACTGATTCTCATTGCTAGCTAGTGTCAGCTCTTTCCATCATGCTTTGCTGCAAAACTGTATGCATTTACCCCATAATGTTCACCCTAATCTCTGATAGTTAAACTTTATTCTAAAATATGAGGGTGTTTTCCAAGTTGTTTTCAATAACTATTATAATATCAAGTGATGTTATTGATTAAATCCAGTGTTAGTGAGACAGAAAGAAAATGTTAAAAGCTATTTTCTTTATATCTGAAATATCTTTGCCACACCTATTTTATTAGCCACTATCTATCCACTTTTCAATTTCTCTGACCATGTCTCAGGCTAATCTTTGTGTTTGACAATTTGTTCAATTGTAGCAACAGGTTTTCTGACCAAAGATATGATGAACTAACGAGTAAAACAGAAATTATGCTTCAGAATCTCATGGTTTTGCCATGAGTGAAATTGTCTTAATTTTATGTCTGTCTGTCTTTCTAAACATCTTTTAAATTCAGAATAATATCTGTCTCTATTATCTAATAATCTCTAATTAAACTACTTTTGGAAGTTTAAGTTAGTTGTCTTTTAACAACACATTAATCAGCTAGTATTCTATTCCTAGTTGTATACTTGGCATAGTTTCTGCAAAAGGAAATTCTGATCTTTTATGTATTATAGATGAAATAAGATTGCCTGCTACAGGTCAGCACTCTTCAGTAGTTCTAAGGCTTTCTTAAATTAGCATAAAACACTTCCTCATTAGAAGCTGGTAGTGTAAAGGGAGGCTCATAAAGTTGATAATGTGATAATCTTTAAAAAGTGTTGTTCATTCCAACACCTCTTCAGAACTTTAAAAATGCATTTAGTCCTACTGCTAAATATTAGGCCTAAGTAAAAAAAACCCTTGCTGATTAAATTTATACACATCATCAGTGTGGTACGTGTTGAAAAATACCAAAATAACATTCTAGTGCATCAAAAGACCTATTCTGAAGGCAGAACCACAAATATTGTCATCATTTACATATGACTAACTATAAAACTCCAACTCCATGAAGCATGTGGATTGTATCATTGCTTTTTTTCACCCTTCAGAAGCTACAAAGGAGTCTAAGACTGAAAATTATTTTTTATTCTAAAATTAAATGAATAAGAAAAAGGTCTGCTGCTCCTCTTTTGTTATATGCAGGAAAGAGAGGTTTGTGCCTAATGAGCTCATCTTAATGCTGAGATTTAGCCGTAAGTTTAATGTTTTGTAAGGCAGGAAGTAATTAAAAAATTGCTGTTATTTCAAGCACTGTGCATTTACAATTTCAGTAGTTTTTGTTGGTTTGGGGTTTTTTTTGTAAGTTATGTCCATTTCAAGTAATTGAATTTCAACCTAGCAGAAATTCTATAAAGTCTGCATCATTTGAAGATGTTGGTCTAGGGAAGCTTCTGGATTAATACAAGGGTTCACTACTACTAGCATATTTATAAATCCTGGCTTACACATACAGTGTTCTTTATAAACAGCACAGGAATTAAATGGGTTTGATGCAATGTGGTGTGGTTGGAAAGACAACTAAACTCTGCATAACAGCTGACTACTTTTATACAAGGACAGCTGCTTGTGCAATAATAACTGAAAGATGGCTCTGTTGTTTTTCTTATGTCAAATAGATCAACTTCTAATCACTTACTTGCTCATGCAGCTTTCTCTCTTACTCCTGGTTTTGATAACCATTTTTCACAGTTATTTGCCATGTGCCAATAATTGTACTACAGACGTTTAGGCAAACTATACAATAAAGCTCTTAATGTTTAATTATGCAGATAAAAAGTGGCAGGGAGGTGTAGTGCTGCTTATGCTGTAAAAGAACCATGCTGAACAGCACAAATACTTAAGAGACAACAGGATGTCACTGTTTACCTGGCAAAGAACGCTAACGTAAATGGTGCAGTGTCTTCAAGAAAACTAGGGGAAATGTTGTTCTTGTGGTATCTCTGTAACACAGCAGAGATAGGTGGGAGTTTACAAGTGATGAAAATGTAGCAGTAGAGGAGCTCTAGGCATTTCCATTTTAATCTGGTAATCAACCTGTCTATTAGTTTCCGTATCCTGTAATCTGATTGAACTGTTAAGATTACAGTAACAGTTGTGCCTATGGTTTTACCTTAAAAATGATAAGCAATTATCTCTATCATACAAGAAAGATACAGTATAAGATGTGCTAATGTGGACCTTTTGTTTCAAATGCCAGTTTCATAACAATTTAGGGAAATACAATTATTTCCTCTAGTCTATACAATGGGCGGCACAACTGGCTGAAAAGCTGCATTACATAATTAAGTATCAATAATTTATAGCCCTAAGAACATAAGTGCAGTGAAAAATGTATCTTTGTTCTGACCCACATGGCCAGAACATATAATGTCTCTGACAAGCAGCCTAAAGTGGATGCTTAGGATATAGCCTAAGGATAGGTGATGCATATGTGGGACCTTCTAATAATCTCAAGCTTTAAGAGCCAGGTGTGGTTCCCATGTGTTAGTACCTCTCTAGAGGTACTAGAATGGATAGAATGGATTTCTCTTCTAGCCTCCCCTTAAGCCCGTTTTAAAACATGAAATGATTAACTAACAATAATGTATTAGACAATTCCATGGCAGTCTGTCTGATTCCAAAACTATTTCTATTTTCCTAAGTGATGCAGATGCTACTGGAGTACACATAAAATCTGAGACACTCCAAGGTAGGAACTGAGAGGTCTTTAGAGGACAGCAGGAATTTTCAATTTATCAACACCAATGATCTGAAATAAATAGGATGAACTACTACGTGGGGGAATAATCAACTACCAAACTCTCAAATAAATAGTATGACAGTGTATCAGCTCCTCCAGAAAGTTTCTTGGGATTACAATAAACAGAAACTTGAACATGACTCAATATCCCACCTGCATGATTTTGCAACAGTTTTACAACATGATGAATAAACAGACTCTTACATGTTTTACATGTAAGCTTTCATTTCTAGTCAATACAGGTGAGACTTTTAGCTGGAATACTACATCCAATTTTGAGTATTGTACTTCAGGAACAATTTGGACTAATGTGAATGTAGGAGAAGTCTTTCAGATTTCTGATCAAATTCATGAAAGAATCAGGGTTATGCAGTCTAGAAAAGACCATGAAGAAAAATGACAAAATTTCAGAAAGAGGAAAGAAATAGTGTCTTCCTATGCTCAGTGAGAAGTGTAATAAACTCAAAATTGCAACAGGAGAAACAAAAGGAAAATCTTTCTGGTGGTTGGAATAAATGTGCAGTGAAACACGTTGCTTATGGAGGCTGCAAAATCTCTACCACTGGAGATTTACAGGGACACTTATGTAACTATATAAACCATTCCTGACAGGTGAGTCTGCCTTGGGTCAGGGACATCAGCCAGATGATTGCTCACAGTCCCCTGAAGCCCTGTTTTTAATGACATGTATAGACCTGCAAACAACACACTGTAAGATTTAAATAATAATAATAAAAAAAAAGGCAGGTAAAACAATGGTTGTTCTGCACTGACTCTTCATGTTATTTCACTCCATGCAAAATCAGTAGCTACTGCACCAGAAGTCCAACTTCACCTTGTTTCTCAACTGGAAAATTACTGGCATTCCTATGTCTGTATAAGCTTCTAGTCTGAGCAGACAAAGCCATTTAAAATCAGTATTTGCACTTATGCATCGCAACCCCGCTGTAAAACAAGATAAACGACCCAAGTGCAACTTGATGTCACTTAATTCCCTAGTGTTGGGAACTGCCTTGTTCCCACATT